GCTCAAGACATGGAAAAAGAGTGCATCTATTACTTATCGAATCAATGGCTGTCGCAAATTTAATTCGCGGCGACTCGCAAAGAAGAAGAAGAAAAAGAGTGGCTCGTCGTCTAGTGATACGTTTAGCTTAAAACTTTTTAAGTATTTTCCCGGTTTGTATTACATACTTACCTACCTGCATATAAACCTTTCTCTTGAGTCACTCTATCTTTTACAAAAAACAGTGACTTTATTTTCTACTATGGATTGTTGGAGTACCTGTAATAAGTTTCCGCAGACTACCTATATCTACTCCTATTTAGCTTGCAAGTTAGCTTGACTTGCAATACCCTTTCATTATGTCTGTTTGTCTGTTGGTTTACCATGTTCTACAAGATCGACAACGATAACGCGTGTCTCATTGTATTGTCGCTCTTGTAATACTTAAGGCGTGTCTCCTGCAGCCTGCTCAAATTTTTAACAAACATATAGGTAGACAAAAGAAGGATTTATATTTCAACGTCATTATAGAAATATAGCCACGCCGGAATCGATGTTATGTTTGGAAAACACACCTTATTTCGGCTTTATAATGGTTTTAGTCCATCGTCATCGTCATCATCATCAGTCCTGACAGCAGACTTCCTTACCAATCCTTTGCTATTCACTTTATGTCACTTTCTTAAATTAACGAGATACTGAAATCAGCACTTTTTTGTGTTTGTGTTTTTGTTGGTTTCTATTTCATCAGCAAAACATCACAATGAACAATTCGTTTAACTGACGCAATTTACTGACGTTCTTCTGATGTCACTCCATAATAAAACATATAAAGGAACTCATAATATATAGATGTTGTTATATCGGCTAATGAATAGAATACCTACGTGCATAATGAATGGGTGGAAAGATAGGTACTGTTATAGTAGTGCCCACCCATCCATAGTTTCATAGGCTTATCGATATTCAGCCCCCGGCTAGTTCGCCCAAACAGGGGTTTGTCTTACTATATACACATTTATTTTACTTAATGTACTACAAAAGCTCTGATCAGCCGTCCGCATAACAAAAAAAATAAACTCAAAGCTTATTGCTTGCAATTTGTTCTTTTTAGCCGACTGCCGGAGGGATATGTTTTTCGAGAGAATGTATGTATGTAGAGTACACATAAAATTCGTTTTCACGGGCTACAGCCCAAATGGCTGGGCGGATCTTGACATGTGAGGTGTCGTCTCAGCAGCGCGAATGAAACTGACTTTAAAAATTCATAAATACAAGATGCCGCCATCTTGTATTTATGATTTTTTATCGCAAATTACAACTTTGAAATTACAACTTTAATTAAAACTTTGATTTTTGTTTTTTAATACATTAGGTATCTGCTTGTTGTGAGTGCTTTTAATGTTCTTGTGGTTTATAATCACAATGGACCACTCATTCCATATAACTGATGCAGTTTTATGACGTTCACAATATGATGTAATTTCATAATAACATAAAAGAATTCATAATATATGTAGGTAGTTAGGTATGACAGCTATAAATAAAAATACCTAGGTAAATAGGTTATCTAGTTTAATAGAAGCAAATATAATAGGTACTTGTTTTAGTTAGGTCGTATTTTTCACTTTCGTGGGACCTACGCGCGATTCAATTTTGGTACACCAAATTGTTGATGCGAAACGATAATCTACCTAAGTACTCGTACATATATTACACTTATATCCCTTGCGGGGAGGGCAGAGCGTAAAAGGCCGTAGAAACGGCCATTTACACCACTTCTGACAAAAGTTTGAGAGTCGAATACCAAATTTTAAAACACTTCTCGTGTTAGGTACCAAAACAATTTTTGGAAAACTTCCAAAATTTTCACCGCAGGCAGGATTTGAACCTGCGACTTTCGGCATCAGTACTGCCGACGCCCTAACCAACTAGGCTACCGCGGTTCTAATCGAGCCCGCGAAATTATGGAAGTATATCTTGTCCACTATCGCGTGGATGGGTTCCATCTACCGGGATAGTTTTGCAACTAATTCCCAGCGACTAATTCATTCTTTACAGATTGAATGTAGTTATTACAGGCAAAACCCTTAACCAGTCAATAACGTTATTGACTGGAAAAACCAGTCAATAACGATATTGCCTAAGGGCCTCAGTCAAAACCCTTATTGACTGGTTTTATCTATTAAAAGCAGTCAATAACGATATTGACTGACGTGCCCAGTCAAAACCCTTAATAGGTACTTCTGCCCCGGTAGCAGCAACCTAGACTGGCTGGCTGACTGTCTCGATCGCCGGTTGTTATTCCTGAGGACATACCCAAGTCGCAGACGGCTTTTCACTATCTAATGCTGACATTAGCGTATACGTGGCTTCACCTCCTAGATGTCATAGACTTCACGACGGTGGTTGTTAGGCTCCCGCCTAGTTCAATCGGCGAGCGAGGCTGTAGGCTTTCTTCTAGCTGCGACCATCTAACGGTCCTGATGGTGATCTCAGACCAGCCAGGCAGTCTAGGTTGCTACCACCGGGTCGGACGTACCTATTAAGGGTTTTGAAAAAAAATGTAACGGTCCTGATGGTTACTATGCAGTAACCATTGCGTTGCGGTGAGTTCATGTGCGTTGCGGCGGGTAGCACTGCGTTGCGGTGAGTTTATGTGCAGTGCGGCGGAAATCAGTGCGGTGCGGAGAGTTTCGGTGCGCGATGCGGTGGGTATCACTGGGTTGCGGTGTGTTTATGTGCAATGCGGCGGAAAGCAGTTCGGTGCGGAGAGTTTCGGTGTTCGATGCGGCGGGTAGCACTGAATTGCGGTGAGTTTATGTGCTTTGCGGCGGAAAGCAGTACGGTGCGGGAAGTATTGTTGTGTGTTGCGGCGGGTAGCGCTGAATTGCGGTGAGTTTATGTGCTTTGCGGCGGAAAGCAGTGCTGTGTGGGAAGTATTGTTGTGTGTTGCGGCGGGTAGCGCTGAATTGCGAAGAGTTTATGTGCTTTGCGGCGGAAAGCAGTGCGGTGCGGGAAGTATTGTTGTGTGTTGCGGAGTTTATGTGCTTTGCGGCGGAAAGCAGTGCTGTGCGGGAAGTATTGTTGTGTGTTGCGGCGGGTAGCGCTGAATTGCGGTGAGTTTATGTGCTTTGCGGCGGAAAGCAGTGCTGTGCGGGAAGTATTGTTGTGTGTTGCGGCGGGTAGCGCTGAATTGCGAAGAGTTTATGTGCTTTGCGGCGGAAAGCAGTGCGGTGCGGGAAGTATTGTTGTGTGTTGCGGCGGGTAAAGCTGAATTGCGAAGAGTTTATGTGCTTTGCGGCGGAAAGCAGTGCTGTGCGGGAAGTATTGTTGTGTGTTGCGGCGGGTAGCGCTGAATTGCGGTGAGTTTATGTGCTTTGCGGCGGAAAGCAGTGCGGTGCGGGAAGTATTGTTGTGTGTTGCGGCGGGTAGCGCTGAATTGCGAAGAGTTTATGTGCTTTGCGGCGGAAAGCAGTGCGGTGCGGGAAGTATTGTTGTGTGTTGCGGCGGGTAGCGCTGAATTGCGAAGAGTTTATGTGCTTTGCGGCGGAAAGCAGTGCGGTGCGGGAAGTTTTGTTGTGTGTTGCGGTGGGTAGCGCTGAATTGCGGTGAGTTTATGTGCTTTGCGGCGGAAAGCAGTGCTGTGCGGGAAGTATTGTTGTGTGTTGCGGCGGGTAGCGCTGAATTGCGAAGAGTTTATGTGCTTTGCGGCGGAAAGCAGTGCGGTGCGGGAAGTATTGTTGTGTGTTGCGGCGGGTAGCGCTGAATTGCGAAGAGTTTATGTGCTTTGCGGCGGAAAGCAGTGCGGTGCGGGAAGTTTTGTTGTGTGTTGCGGTGGGTAGCGCTGAATTTCGGTGTGTTTATGTGCTTTGCGGCGGAAAGCAGTGCGGTGCGGGAAGTTTTGTTGTGTGTTGCGGCGGGTAGCGCTGAATTGCGGTGAGTTTATGTGCTTTGCGGTGGAAAACAGTGCGGTGCGGAGAGTTTCGATGTGCGATGCGGCGAGTAGCACTGATTTGCGGTGAGATTATGAGCGATGTGCGGTTAGTTTAGATGCGATGCGGCGGGTAGCAGTACGGTGCGGTGAGCTATGGTGCGATGCGGCGGGTAGGAGTGGTTACTGCATAGTAACCGTCAGGATCGATATATATTTTTTAAAATAAGATAGGCTCGCATTTGTCTGCTATCTCACCAGCTGATAAAAGGAGTAATCCTAGTCAGCGACGCGATCCCCGGAGGTGGAATTGGGATAATCAGGTCGTGGGACGATTGCGCACGCTCACTGAAATGCATCTTATAGAAGATAGAAGATGGAGGCAGTCAGAGTGAAAGTCTACTGTTTCGCTCGCCGGTGGCACTGAGCCCGAGTCCTTGAGTAACTACCGGGTGGTCTATGACTTCTGGGAGGGGAGGTCACGTATTTGCTGCCGTCAACATAAGTGAAGAGCCGTCTACGACTTGGGCATGTCCTTATGGAATAACAACCGGCGATCGAGACAGTAGACTTCCACTCTGGCAGCGACCATCTAACGGTTCTGATGGTGATTTAAGACCAACCAGGACATACCTATTAAGGGTTTTGACTAGGCACGTCAGTCAATAACGTTATTGACTGATTTTATTAGACAAAATCAGTCAATAAGGGTTTTGACTGAGTAACTTAGGCAATAACGTTATTGACTGGTTTTGCCAGTCATTAACGTTATTGACTGGTTAAGGGTTTTGACTGTAACATAGTCAAAGCGATGAAAACCCGCGATAAATTGAATACCAAATTTTAAAACACTTCTCGTGTTAGGTAAACAATTTTTGGAAAACTTCCAAAATTTTCACCGCAGGCAGGATTTGAACCTGCGACTTTCGGCATCAGTACTGCCGACGCCCTAACCAACTAGGCTACCGCGGTTCTAATCGAGCCCGCGAAAGGAAAGGAATTAGTTGCAAAACTATCCCGGTAGATGGAACCCATCCACGCGATAGTGGACAAGATATACTTCCATAATTTCGCGGGCTCGATTAGAACCGCGGTAGCCTAGTTGGTTAGGGCGTCGGCAGTACAGATGCCAAAAGATGCGGGTTCAAATTCTGCTGCGGTGAAAATTTTGGAAGTTTTCCAAAAATTGTTTACCTAACACGAGAAGTGTTTTAAAAGGAAATAATCAAATCTAGGCCCCCCTCTAAGTAACGGCTAAGAATCTCATGAAATGTAAAAAAGATGATACGTTTTTTGGATCAAAATCTTATATAAATCATCTTCAGGCGAAACGGGAATCACAATTTATGTTAAAAAGTATATTTTGTGTTTTATTCCGGTCAAAATTCTGGTTCCTTGATTCTGCTGACATCTGTGACACAAACGTAAAGTAGGTACTAAGAGCAACTAAGAGGAAATAAGGGTAAAATGGAGCAGTTTTTAAAACCCAGGATGCGTAAAAACAACTACAGCGCAGACAATCTCCTGTGTATGCCGAGTGATGCCGGCTTAGAACAGCATCACCCCAATTCTACCCGTGGGTGTCATAAAAAGCGACTAAGGGATACTCATCCAGGGAATGGGCAGCAGGATTCCCTGTTAATGCACCATCATGCACTGCGCTCGCCAATCCGCCTGCCAAGCATGGTAAGTATGGCAATACCCCCCGATAGGGGGAGGCCCATGTCCAGCAGTGGACCGTTGTGGCTGTTATGTTATGTTATAGCCGGGTTCGTACGTAAGACAAGCAACAAAAGCGACTAAAACAACATTAATGATAGATTAATGATTAATGACATTTTTATGATTTATATGACTTTATTAAATAATAGTAATAATAGGCCAGCTGCCACTGGCATTACAACGGCAAAAATATAACAGACCATGCCACAGGAACTGCAAAGGGTGATACGAATTCGTGTTTGGAAACTTCTTTCAACAATGTCTTAAAACCTCTGATCAGGGGTAGGTACAATTTTACCCCATCTACCCTGCAAGTATTACATACTCTTTGAAACTCTCATAGAGAATAAAACTTCTGCCATACTTCTGCATTTCCTCTTTTGCTATTGTCATCAAGTTGTCATTTGGCAAAGGAAGTATACCCGCACACCCGCAACGTACTCGCCGTACGCGCTGAATAATGCGGATGGCCTTGCACACCTAGCCGCAAGCACAGCCGCATTGAATAGAGTTGGTGTTGCCAAGAGAGTACTTTCCTCCCAATTTAATGTGTAATTTTGCCGTATGTGTGTATTTTTCGGAATTTTATTTTAAATAATAATTGCTGTCATTTTACGCCAAAGGCACGTTCAAGCAGCCAACTTTCGTAACTGCAGAATTTTCTCCGTGCACCACGCAGCTTACTTTTGTTCCCATATATCCAACTGATCACTTCTACAGTAGAACAGGCCGGAATATTTTCTACGTTCTATGTTCTACGGTGGAACAAAACTTTTGAACATATTACAGGTCCCGCTGTTTCAACTTTTAAAAAATATTATTGTTCAAGGAAGTAGAATGTGCAGAAAAGCAAAATGCCAATACGTCAAAGTAGCAAAATGTAAAATTGCTAGAATGTAAACGTAACAAAATGTAAAGAAGAAGCGGAAAACATTTTGTGCCAATGTCTAAATGTTAAGGTAACAGAATGTCAATTGAATTTAAAAGGACGGAATCTCAAATATTAAAATGTCAAATAAGCAAAATGTGAAAATGTCATTTGGTTATTCTTTAAGAGTGACATAGACTCCAAAACCTTCGAAACTTTAGTTAAGAAAAACTGGAACACGGACGGTGAACAGCAGACTTTACTGGGAGGTAATGTTGATGGGACAGTCTGGCAGCATTGACAAAAACTAAATCTTTTTAAATGGTTACACTGTCCGCGTGCGCTCATGACGTCATCAGCATTATAGACTATGATTTGCACTGGCTTAGATTAGACAGCCGATGTGGCGCAGTGGTTAGTATGCCTGCCTGCCACGCAAAGGTTCCGGGTTCAATTCCCGGTGGGGTCAATCACAAAGTTGATATTTGTTCCCAGTCTGGTTAGGACATTGCAGGTTGAACCACCTGATTGTCCGCAAGTAAGATGGTTCCATGCTTTGGATGGGCACGTTAAGCCGTCGGTCCCGGTTGCTGTCTATGATGGCGGTCGTTACACAACCATGTCAGAGGCCTGATACTTGTAGTAGGCGGTTGAAAAACTCTGACACCAGGGTTCATCGGGTCGTTGAACGACTCGGTGTCCCACACGAAAAAGAGAAAAGAGCACTGGCTGGGGAATCCGTTCGGTTAGGCGCGTGCGGCTCGACAATATTTTCGAGGTTCCACAGATTTTCATACAAAGAATGCAAAATTCGGCGAGTGCGTTGTGGGTGTGCGGGTATACCTTATAACTCTTATCAAAATACTTAGTTAGGTTATGCCATTTTAGGTTAAGAATTATTTTGCGTCGTTTCATCAGTTTCCCGTTAGATATTTAAAAACTAAGTATGCCACCATGATCTAGATAGCGTAAGAAATACATTACTACGAGTTTAATTACTAGCCATTTCGATTTAGGCCCCCATTTCGAGGGGCCTAACCTTGTATGGGCATATGATTATCACCTTTGGTATTCAATTTATCGCGGGTTTTCATCGCTTTGACTACATTCAATCTGTAAAGAATGAATTAGTCGCTGGGAATTAGTTGCTAAACTATCCCGGTAGATGGAACCCATCCACGCGATAGTGGACAAGATATACTTCCATAATTTCGCTTGCTCGATTAGAACCGCGGTAGCCTAGTTGGTTAGGGCGTCGGCAGTACTGATGCCGAAAGTCGCAGGTTCAAATCCTGCCTGCGGTGAAAATTTTGGAAGTTTTCCAAAAAAAAAAAGTTTGAGAGTCATTCAGAAAACTGTGTATCACCTTTCACTATAGTGACAGTTTGTCAGCCTGTCGTTCAAGGAACACACGCAACGTCGGTTTGTGCGTCGTTTGTTCGATTTTCCACCTTATTTTTATACGAATACGGTTTATGTCAAACGATTTGACAGACAACGCAGCGTTGTGCGATGCCGTTTGACACAAACCGTATTCATATGCAGGTATGGTGGAGAATCGAATGAACGACGCACAAACCGACGTTGCGTGTGTTCCTCGCCTTAACTCCTTAGTACCTACTTGTGGTTTTTATAATGAAATCGCAAAAACATTTAATTTGGAAAGTTCCGCTTGTTTTGCCAAAGGCTTATTATTCAAAAATATTAATTGAGCCTTTAGGCATGTCGAAAGCAAATAAAATTAATATCATGTGCATGTTCAGGTCAATGTCTAAGTAATTTATTTATGTATGATTTATATGGGTAAGCAGCGCATGTTATATTTCTATAAATGCATAACTCATTAGGTCCTAGATCGTTTACATGTAAATAAATATTATACAAATATTTATGTAGTGTACTGTACAAACAGTTTATTTTCAATTACAAGTAGCTGTAGGCATTATTTTGATTATACATAAATTGAAACTTAGTGCAGTGTAAAAAAGTATTTATCACGTCATTTCCGCCTACAGCAGTCCATTGCTGGACATAGGCCTCCCGCAGGCAGGATACGCTCTATTAGGCTCTTTCTCCGTAGCTACTGGTGAACTTTCATAGTCGTTGTAGTGTAGATTCATGATTTGATTTTGTTTTATATTGCATTTCGAATTTCGAACCAAAGAGGACTTTTGAACCTGTGATTTGCACATCCCAAAAAAACTATCGACGCTCCATAATTGAATTTGAAAAGCTTAGTGTTGTTTTACTTGTGTTGTCGATATTTTTACGTCAGGGCTCGCACAAACAACAACTTTACTGCCTAATTAAAAAATATTGCTAAGTACAATTTCAAAGTACCGGAAAACCGTAATAAATTAGGTCCATACAACATATTTTTATTTTTATCTCCAGTTTCAAAATATTTGTTCATGTGATGTGTAAGGGTTCAATCTCTTAACATCTGTTTAGCAGGTTTAGCAGATCTAAACACAAACAAATTCATTTATGCCAAAAACGTGGCAAATGTTTACAAGTACTTTGAACTAGAAGCAGTTTTAAGACGCAAAAAAGGCATGGCGATAAATAGGTACCTAGGTAGGTATAAAATGAAAAGTGTGACTTTCATTTTCCTATGACTTATTAATTTGATATCATTAAGTGGAACTTTGCTGAACATTTTGAATTTAACTACAAATCAAAATCATATAGAAAGCTAAAGATTGAAATAATATGTAAGAATGTACCGATGATGTTAAATTTATTACGATCAAAACGATTAATATTTATTATCCCTTCCTATTTTAAACTGCAATAATCTTGTCAATACAAAGTCAGCGGTCGTGACTTTCAATAAAGTAATTTATCATTTTAACTAATACAATACCAAGATAAAGCATTTCAGGTATCGCTACCTACTTGTGGCGCCTATTATTAAGTTATGAATATCAAATAACCGAAAGTATAATATAGTTAGAGAGTGAACCAGAAATTATATCGATAAAATCTCGATGTATCGATAAGGTGGTGGCAATTAACGTCACGGGGAGGCCTGAGCAAGATTGAAGAGATAACATCAATCCTGTCAATCTTATGATGAATCTGACACCTTGAATAATGTACCTACCTAGATAAAAAATACAATTTGATTGTTCACTTTTGCTATGCAAATAAGGTTATTGTTTGTAGTATCTCTATAGTAGAGTCGTTAAAAATAATAAATTAGGAAATACCGTATATTTATCAGGAGTGCAATCGTATAATTTTAATTTAATATGTATAGGTAAATGGTTTTCAGTGATTGAATAATGAATACCTACTTTAATATAGGGCTTTTATAGCTAATTTAAAGGATAACTTCAGATTTCCCATTCACATATTCACTTACATGCAACACTTGAAACCAAAATACTGCACTGTTTATAAGCGCACACGACACGAGACACGTTCACTGTCACCAAACAGATCAGAGCACTGTCACAACCGCTTCCACGTAAACCGATTAGCCTTGTTTTTTCATCGATAAAGATAAATAATAAATCTTTCACGTCACTGGTGATTCCTTTTTTGAATTTTGTAACTGGCTGGTTTGG